CTAACAAGATGAGAGATTTAAATCTAACCACACTGATAACTACATTAAACGTAAAGGTACTAAATACTTCAGTAAATGATAGGAACTGTCAAACTTAGAGATAAAAGCAAACCTAATTGTGCTAATAAAAAACAAACAAAAAACCAAACTCACTGCCATCAAGTCAATTTGACTCATAGTGACCCCCTCCTTGGGTTTCCAAGGTGGTATCTCTATGGAAATAGAATGCCCAATCTTCCTTCCAAGGAGTGGCTGATGGGTTTGAACCACCAGTCTTCTGGTTAGTAGTCAAATGCCTTAGGCACTATGCCACTAGAGCTCCCTCCTGCTAATAAAAATGTCACTTTAAATACAGTGTGTTCTGCAAAAATAAAAATAAATACAGTGTGTTATATTATTTATTTTTGTGTTGTATAAGTGCTTACTAAACAGATTGAAAATGTGGGGAATTTTAAACTGCTTATACGATGAACAACCTGTCAGTAATTGTAGACAAATTATTTATTTTCAAAACAATTGATGTGATGTTTTGAATTCACTAGAGCAAGTCAGATAGGGTCAATAATTGCTTAAACTTCTTAGCCATCAATCAGTTTTTTAAGTGTATAAGCTTGCCCTTGAATGAAGTTGTCTGTAATGTAGACTTTCATAATTATAATACAATTTCATAATTCCTTATTTTTATGAATTAATGTGGTTTCATTGTATAGGAACTTTTGTGATAGACACTACTCAATTTTTCAGAGAAGGAAAAATGAAGACATCTTACTTTTCTGAGAGTAATTAATGAGTAGTAATAGAAACAAGAGAGCTCTGGTGGTGTAGTGCCTAAGGCATTTGACTGCTAACCAGAAGGCTGGCAGTTCAAACCCACCAGCCACTACTTGGAAGGAAGAATGAGAAATCTACTTCTGTAGAGATACAGCTTCAGAAACCCAAAGAGGGGTTGCTATGAGTCGAATAGAAACGAGGACAAAATTGAATTGTTATGCTTTAAACTCTGCTGGAAACATTTCATTTTATAAAATAAATCATTGTTGAGAAGCCTCCAAACCCAGAATGGAATGAATTGACATTCACATCTCAAGTCTAAGAGAATCAGGCAATAATCCAACCAACCTTCTTAAGGTTTCTTAGCATATGGGATCTTTTCCAAAGTTATTTCTTTTATTACAATATGAAAACCAGTCCTCATCTGAAATAGAAGCCTTTCTGGAGAAAGCATCTTTAAGACATATGAAATATCCCTATGTTGCAGGTCATTCGGAAAGGGGAAGTGAGCTGCTGCTGGATTTGCACAACCTGTAAGGAGAATGAATATGTGCAAGATGAGTTCACCTGCAAAGCTTGTGACTTGGGGTGGTGGCCCAATGCAGACCTAACAGGTAGGTGCTGCCTCACTTGTACAATTTTTCCCATCCTCCTAAGGCCATGCTACAGTTACAGGATGTGAGTAATTTGCTCA